GATGAGTTCTCACGCATCAATGCGGACATTGACATGGAAATCATGGCCGCGTCAATGAAGGATCAGTATTTCGGTGATGTCGACTTGTTACATCAACGTTTCACTACGCAACTTCGCAAACTTGCTCGTCGCTGGCATGTGCATGGTTCCAGTCTTCTTGTTGATCTGCAGCCGGTTTTGACTCAGTTGATGGACACTCATCGAGCTAACCTTCAAGATCGTGCTTATTGGTCATCGACATCGTTGCAGCGCACCGTGGCTTCTCTGTCATCGTGGGTTGTAATCCCCGCGGATCATTTCCCCTCCCGCGCACATGTGATTTGTCCGTCCCTGTTTGCCATACTGATGCGGAAGACCTTTTGCTCGGGAGATGTCTTTTCGCTATGCCGTGAATCCGCAGCATCTTTTCGCTCTGAAGTGGTGACTACGGTACCTTCCCTCCTACGTCAGCGATATGCATGGGGACTTCGACTTCAAGCACCGTTGCCCACAGCTCGCATCCTTCCAAAGCCGACCAAGGACTGGCAGAAAGCACGACCCATCATTTCATTCTTTCGCACGTGGGCAGCTCCCTTCCTCACGGTCTTCGGCGCTCATATTTGAACTTACCAAAGCTACTTTTCCCGACATTGCAGGTCAACTTTCAGTACAAGAACTTGTCCAGCAGCTGTGGGAGTCGCTGTCAAAGGCAGATCCCGAGGAATACATCCACCTGGTGTCACAAGACCTGTCAGGCTTCTTCACGTCCATTCCTACGGAACGATTCCACCAGGCACTACAAGTGCTTCTCCATCGGTACGATCAAGTTGTTGGCCTTCGCAGATCCTCTCAATGGTCAGTGTTCGAAGTAAAGTCTGATCATCGACGCCGTATGTTCAAAGGAAAATGGCGCCGTCAAACAAAGATCCCTCGAACTTTTCATGAACAAGATCTCCGGCACCTTCTGGACTTTGTCATTGGCAACAGTCACTTCGAGATCAACGGATACTTGTTCCGCCAAGAACGGGGAGTCGCTATGGGATCACCAGCCGCGCCACCGCTCTGCAATTTGGTTGCCACGGTTGAAGATTTCTTCTGGCACCAGACAATGTGTTCTCTGCGTTTTCGCATGCCCGATATCGGTGTGATCTGGCATGAGCGCTACGTCGACAATCGTTTCATTCTGCTTCGTGATTCAGCCCCACACTCGCCCGTGCTCATGAATTTTCTTTCCCTGGAATTTTATCGCCCACCAGTGATGCTTGAGGTTCAACATGATGACAAAGTGCTGGGCTATCAATGTGATTCTTCTTCCAGAACTATTACACCACAGCTACCTGATCATCCCTCCCAAATCAAAGGAATTCGGAGTGCCAATGATCAGATGTTTACTTATTCTTCCTGGTCTTCTCGCTCCTGGCTCATCATACGTGGTGCACAACCTGCGGTTCAGCAACAGCAAGGACTTAACGCTCCGTCCATCGCTGTCCCCATCGGCAAACTGCAAGCATTACTGTCATGCCTTCCTGCGCCACGGGCGGAAATGTCTTTCCCCTTGTGATCGTAGACGACCAGGACATTATCATTGCAGGTGTGCGCGGCATCAACGGCGGTGAAGCTTAGGCGTCGTATATTACAAACCTCGCTGCTGTGTCTCACCTTGAGTTTGAAAAGTTGCCTTGCATCCCTTCAGCTGCGCGCGGTTGTCATTGCATGTGTGTCTTCACCGCAGATTTTCGATTGCTTTTAGCGGCCGCGCGAGAGCCTGTCTTGCCGCTATGAACCCTCAATATTTCGAGTACCAGATCGACAGAGGAGTGGAATGGATTCGAATTTACTCACCGGGCACGTGGCGACCCGTTCCCGATGATGCTCCAGTGCTCGACCCGGTCTACGCTTCTACGTATCGGGAGTGGCGCAGGTCATATCGCTTCCAAGTGTACTGGTCCGAAGACAGCACCGGAGGAACAACAACGGATCCCATTGTCACGCCCAGTTCGTATGTGTCCTACCACGTGTGGGAGTACCGAGACTGGCAAACACGAGGGTATCAACGACTTGGAGCTCCTTTACCAGCCATTGGACTCGCGATGCTCGTGAATGCAGACGCCAATTCGTCGGGGGACTCATCGGTTCCGGATGGGGCGTGGCGAGAGCCGTCACCACCACCATTTCATGATCCTTGGAACGATTCGGAGTGATACTTGAGCAACATGTCGGATAAAATGACGCGGTTGTGCTTGCTTTGTATGCGATTCCATGTTGGGTTGTCTTGCTTGGTGTTGTGCGTTCCGTCTCCAGCTGTTCGCCGCTTTCATTTGACTCTGAGCGGTTTGCCTGGTTGATATGTTCAATTCTACAATATATGGCACTGCAAGATGGACCCTGCCACGCTACTTTGAGTACGACATCGTCAATGCCCCCGCGAATACGAGTGTAGAATGGATTCGGATCTATGTACCGGGTCCGTGGCATCCAGTCGCCGAGAACACCTTGGGACCAGCCCCGGATGACTCAACCACCTATCGGGAATGGCGCAAGGTTTACCACTTCGAAGTGTATTGGCCGAGGGATAGCACAGGCGGCACAAATACAGGTGCTGTTTCGCAGCCGGTATCTTATGCATCCTTCTATACTTGGCATTATAGAGACTGGGTCACCAGGGGATACCAACGGCTGGGTCGCCCACACCCTAGCATTGCGCGGCCAGTTTTCGCTTCGGGCGCACCGGACCTCATGTACGCTGGATTGACCTCTTCATCGGCATCCTCCAACTCGAATGGTGGCTGATGCTTGTCCTCACCTTCCTGGGGAGTCTGTTCAGTTCAATTCGATTCGGGTGATTGACTTCGATACCGGAGCCGTGCATTGCTGCAAAAGTGATTTCTTGCACTGTGGCAGTTGTGTCTCTTTCCGTAATTGTTGTCTGCAGCCGTACACCTATCAATTTGTCTTTCCGGGTTTGCGTTGTAATGCCGTGGCTGGAATGGTGTCCGGATCCTCAACAACCAGATGCCCAGTGGGTCAAGATCTTTCATCCGGGATCATGGACTCCACATGAAGAACATGATGCTCCACCTCCACCGCACACGTATAGAGAGTGGAAGGAGTTCTATGCTCCCAACCCGGACCAAGACGGTGAGCAGCTCAATGTCACCATGTGGTACAAAAGAGACTGGGCCACAGAGGGCTATCGGAGAGTCGCTGCCCCTCAAGCTGGTCATGACTGTGATTCTATGTCTTTTCCTGATCATCACAGCGTGGCCACGCAATCCGCGGCATTGAGTATGTCACCGCAAATGTTAGAAGCGATCCTGAGATCCTCGGATGCGGCGGATTTCTCTACCGAAGAACTGACTCGTCTCCAAGAAAAGATTTCTCAACAACTGACAGCTCGCGCACGTCAAGCTTCCCAACTTCATCAACCTGTACGTGCCTCACGTGGAATCACACCATCGGAGACGGTTGGGGTCTCCGAACCATACCGGCCTGTTAATCCTTCCGACAGCTGCAAAGCCAAGGCGAGACCTATCTTCGAGCTAAATGAGGACTAGACGCGCGCGAGTGGGGTAGCGTACAAAATAAGGGTGGTTTTCACACTTGCATTACCTTGCTTGGTTGTTGCTTGTACATGGTTGTGCATGGTGCCTGTTCCTCTATCAGCTGGATCGGAGCCCGCGATACGCCTTGCCTCTTACTTCGACATGGACATCGATGATTCGAAGCAGCACCCATGGCTCGAATACTCGGTCTGGCAGGATCAGGAGTGGGTGCGGATCTACACTCCAGGACAGCCTCAGCGATGGCACCGCGGAGAAACTGTACCTGATCTACCAGACAATTCTTTTCGGGAATGGCAGCGAGTGACTGATCCCAATGGGTGCACTGGTGAGCACGGTCAGGCATGGAACATCCGCGACTGGCAGCATCAGGGATACCAGCGCATTCTGTCTCGAATGGAGTCCTTCACAACTCATCATTCGCATGATCAATCTCCTGGTCAAGTTCGGAACTCCGATGCCATTCCAGTTGAGGAGACGTTCACCTATGCCACTCCATTTTCTCATGGTGATCGCCAGGCTGCTTCACAACTCGCTTCAGTCCTCTATGGCGACACTCGTAATGCTCAACGTGGTGATCTCTCGTTCCCGTCTTCTGAGCGGTTTAGGGCTGTTTCTCGTTCCCCTCGCCGCGGTGGATTTGTTGGTCAACGATAGGGACACGGGGTTGAGCATGTGATCTTCCTGCGGAAAAGGAGACTTCTCGCCCCTCATTGAGGGGCGTGTGTGTGCGGAGTGACAGAATGCCCTGTCACCACCCTTTCGGTTTCTCAGCAGGGGGCCAGCGGCCATCAAGCAA